GGATTTTCGAAGTCATCTCCATCGTCACAGTCTGGAGTGAAGTCGGCATAAACGAACCCAACAATAGCATACATTTGGCAAACGTTGAAATCTTTGCTCCCCACGTAGTCAGAGCCTGCGTAGCAGTAGCCATCGCGGCCCCCACCTCCGCCCCAGCTGTTTCGGACGATGAAGACTTGCTGTCGGCCGTTGTAGCTCGTCATCCTTGCCGGGTTTGCTGGGCTTACAGGAGGCTTCGGCCTGCTTTGGAATCTCGTCCAACGTGCCCCGCCGATGGTCTTCAGATACCCAATCGCTGGAGATCATCTCTTGGAAGCGTATGGGCGTCCACAGCTTCGAGGGTCAAGCAGGTGCTTGCTTGAGTGGGGAATCGATAGCGCTGCAATAACAGCAGCCATGCTGTAGAAGCAGCTGTACTTGTTCTCACGCAATCGTCCATGTCATCAGGCGGTCGATAAGTCTCAAAGATGGAAGGCCATGCATGGCCTTACCGTTGATACAGCTGCACCTCTTCTCGCCACTTTTTCATTCAGTTGGAAGAGTCGGAGACCTTCTTCTGGTTTTTGCCTCCAGACAGAAGCTAATGCTCACATTCGGCTGCACCTCTTCCGATATCTGTATCTTGTCTCCAGCTAGGTCTCTGAAGAGGTGCATGCCTTCAGAGGAGTTGGCCTCGAAGGAAGCCTTCCTTGTGTCGGCATTGAATGTTAGGGCCACGCGTGCACGGCGAAGCCACAGTCTTTGCGCAGCTGGGAGATTAGGTCGAAAGCCTCGCGGCGAGTATGCCGCTCATAGGCCCAACCGATCCTTGGCCGTTGAGGCATAACCCAAGACAGCCTGGAAATCCCGTGTGCTCACATATATCTACATATAAACATGAATACAGCATACATCTACGTGTATATGTAGGGTTTACATGCATACGAAAAAGGTATATGTGTGGATATATATATATATATACACATGCCTATATATGTATGTACATATATGTATCTATATATGTGTATGTATGTAGGTATGTAGGTATGTAGGTATGTAGGTATGTAGGTATGTAGGTATGTAGGTATGTAGGTATGTAGGTATGTAGGTATGTAGGTATGTAGGTATGTAGGTATGTAGGTATGTAGGTAGGTATGTATGTATGATTATGTATGTATATGTGTGTGTCTGCGTGTCTGCGTCTCTCTCGTTCTGAGTGTCTGTGCGTCTGTGTGTGTCCGTGTGTCTCTATGTCTCTATGTCTCTGTGTCTCCGTGGTCTGTGTCTGTTTGTCTCTGTGTCTGTTTGCATCTGTGTCTCTGTGTCTGTGTGTCTCAGTGCACGTGGTCTGTGTCTCTGTGTGACTTTTTAGGTGTGTATATACATATGGTCACCCCCCCCCCCAAGATCTACACCCTCCTTGTCTACACTACTCTTCTGCTTGCTTCCACGCACTTGTGAACAAGTAGTGCACGCCGAAAACACTGTAAATACCGATAAAACCGTACTTGTCGAGTATTTCCGGGACTATTTTACGTAACACATCATGCATGCAAAATGTCTACAAATCTGCAACCGAATTTCGGTTTAAAATTATGTGACCTTCTATACTCCGAAAGCCAAAAAACCTCAAAAAACTTACTGTGCGGTGTGTCCCAATAGCTGTCCTTCATTGCTCACTCCAAGCAAGCTGAAAAGGGGAATTCCTACTAAATCGACAAAACCAGTATGTACTTGGTATTGAATTTCTATGCAATGAGTATTGCATTGGTGTGCTTTTAACATGTACCAGGTGTTTCAATAGTATTTAATTTGCCTATTAAATCAACATTTTGCTTGGAAAAAGGCGTTGCTTAGGAAAATTGCATTATTTGTGCCGAAACACCTGAAAACCAAAAGTCCAAACTTCGCCAGAGATTCTCCCTAGGCTTTAGGATTTGGAATTTCCGAGTACTATGATCTTCACGAGGCAAATAGGCTTCTAAGAAAGAATATGTATTCTTGAGCTTGTCTATGCGAATTGCGCGCTTGAGACAGAATATCATCTGTACAAGTGGTATTTATTTAGTGCCCGAGCAGTGCTTCATCACTATGTGATGAAAACTGCTTGTTTTTAAAGTCAAATCTAGTACACATAATCGCTGTGCTAAAGTCGTGTTTCTTTAAGATCTCTACGAGACTTATGCATTTGTACGCTTGTCTATGCTGTTTAAGAGTTCGTAATTCAGTATTTTTGCCGCACTATGTGCTTAGAAGAGTATTTTTGTTGGGCTTGGGACAAGCACTGCTTCTCTAGAAACAGAACGAATTGCTTTTCAAAAAAGCATCTTGTCTCTAAGATTGCAGTATTTGTCTAGATTGCCGAGCGCAATCGCTACATTTTGCAATGGATATTCTATGAGTGACCAAAAACTAGGATAGTTCACTCGGCCTCTTTCGTATAGTATTAGTTCAATATTTGCCTAGTGCAGGCACTATGCATCTGAAAAAGCACAGTATTTCCCTAGTTTTTGGCACGCACTATTCTCTACAAGAGAAACACAAAATCAGACAAACCAAGAACCCACAAACCAAAAAAACCAAAACCAAAAAAACCAAAAAGAACCAAAATGACCATTTTTCTGAGACTCTTGGAAACCAAAAAAAACCCCAAAAACCAAAACCCAAACCAAAAAAACCCAAACCAAAAAAACCAAAACCAAAAAAACCAAAAACAACAAAAACCCCATTATTCCGAGACTCTTGGACAAAGGGAATCAATACCCCGTGCCGTCAAGAGTTCGAAAATAATCGTTTTTTGGTTTTTTGGGTTTTTTAGTTTTGTTTTTTTTTGGTTTTGTTTTTTGTGGTTTCGGTTGTTTTGGTTTCACCTGTCCAAGAGTCTCAGAATATATTTTGTTTGGGTTTTGTTTTTTGTGGTTTGGGCTTTTTGGCATCCTGATTTTGGCGTTTTTGACCTTTTTTGGGTTCTGGAAACCTGTAAACGTAGATCTTGGGGGGGGGGGGGGGGCTGAGCCATACATATAAATATATACACACAGACAGAACGCTGTTTTGCTGACGGAGTGTATGTATCTATATATGTTTCTATCTCTACATCTATGTGTAGATCTGCGTGGTACTCTTATCAATACAACGACAGGAACAAATGCACGTATCAATCTACAGAATTATGTGCATAGAGGATATGCCCCCCATGGTCCAACCTGTCCCTGAAAACCTTGTGTATGGGTTCGAATATGGATTCTGCACATACTACTAATGCTAGCGCAGGCCCTTGTGAATTCCAAACTTGTTGTAGCAGAAGGCGGGAAACGATTATCTACCATGCTTCACTAACTGCTAAATGATCAGCGCAAGCCATCCAAGCGGTGAATTCCTGTGCTGCCGCTATGAAAAGCTTATTGTTGCTGTAAAGGTCTTTGAAGTGTAAATGCATGTGTCTGTCGCTTTCACTTCGACAGTGTATGGGAAATCTGGGAACACTGGGAAACTAACTTAAACAAGGTGCCAAACGGTGTTCATTCGTAGCTCGATCCGTTAAACTCCTTCAAGCTGAAGTGATCCGGAAGGAATGTGTCATTCAAAGATCCCTCGCGTTCTTTCAACCTGCCTGACTTAGCGAACTTCCGGGGCGACAAGCTAAACTTAATTTCTGTCGGGTCAGAAATATGCTTCCGGAACCCTTTGAGCTCTATAAATTGGTCGACATTGCACCTGGATTCGATCTGGGATGCTTTTTGCCACCTGTCTCGCCAAGCAAAGACAACATCGCCCAACTGAGGAAACCCAGCTTCAGACACTTGAGGACCGAGGGCAGCCAACTCAATAATTTATGCCACCCGTCTAGCCAGGGTTTAGGGTTTCGATGCCCACGCTCGCACACGGCAAGGCTTCCTCGCTTACACTCGTGCAAGGCAGGCAAGGCTTCGAAAGTCAGTCTTGCATGGCTATAATATGTCTCATTGGACACCACAAAGACGATACGGCAGGGTTCATGGGAGAGGGCTTTGGGGCTTCAATTCCTCCCCGATATGCCCCAACTTGCGATTTCTGCTTATCGGAAACCGCAACAAGGGCAACACTATTTTCTGAAACCTCCTTTCCAAGGAGCTTGAGGGATATAAAGCCTTTGCAAAGTATGAACAAAGCCCCAAATTCAGATGGCCTCTGGGAGATATTTAGACGCAAAAAATCTGTAACTTCTTTAAACTACGCAGCTGCGTCATCTTCAAGGCAGCCGTATGTTCAGCTTCATGGTGCTGGCAGGCTTTGCTTCGAACAAGCCCCGGGTCCGTAGTGTTTCCGCTGCGTTGGTTCGGCGAGGGCATCGCATTTTCCATTGAGAAAAGTTCTAGAATCTTCAAAATTGTAGGGTAGTTGTCCAAGTAGCTGTTCGATGTTGTCTTCGAAGCTAGCTTCCTTCTCTTGCAAAACAACAAAAACGAAAATAGACCCAATAGACTGAATTGGCCCTGATTGGGCCCGATTGAATCCCGTCAGGGGCGGGGAGGCAGGGGGCTGAAGATTGAAGATTCCCAAAGAAGAAGAGTCTGCCCAGAATCTTCGATCTGGGCCTCCCGGATTGTAGAGCATATGCTGACGGACTACTAAGTGCATATATATGTATACATATATATATACACGTATATATGTATATATATATATGTGCTTGTACTACAGTTATTTCAACCATCTCTGTCCACGGTTGTTGCGGCTCATGTCCTTGTCGCTGTTTCCTTTCCACTTTCCACGACATGTTTTGCTGGGTATGCAATGTCCGCGTTCCACTTTCTCTTCTTTTCTTCCTCTTCTTTCTTTTCTTGGGGCTTATGTTCCGCTCCTCTCTTGAGCCTGTATTTGCTTTTCACTTTCCCACTTTTCTGTGGCAAGGGTTCTGTCCACTGCACACCTATGCCTGAGACCCACGTTGTATAACTGTCTACTTTAACGTTCCACTTCTTCAGCCTCCTGAGCCTTTTTCTCTGCCCCACTTCGTTTGCCTACTCGCGCCCTACTTCTCACTTTCTATCAAGACTGGTGGGTGAATCCGGTCCGCCTAAGCTGCTTGTACTCGATGCAGAAACTTTCTGCACAAAGCCTTCCCAAGTGTATCCCGAGATCGACTTGTATGCAAAATGCAGCTCAATGTACAGCTCATCCACGAGCTTGAGCGGTTGCGACAGGAGGTCCGCCAAGAAACCCCACTCAAGGGTCACCTGAATGTGATTCAAGTCCGTGTCCCACATGAGCACGACAAAGTCCGCCTCTCTGACCTTATAAGACAGCCAGAAGCATAGCAAAAGCAAGCCCAGCTTCGCTAAAGCATCAATGAGGACCTCACAATCTTCCTCAACCCTCAACCAGAAACCCCGAACCCTAAGAAGCCTGAGCAAACAACATCCCAGGGGCCATTGAAGGCAGCATGTAGACCAAATCAGACTCATCTCGAGTTGCGATGTTCATGGCTCTTTGCCTGAAGGTTATTCTGGTCTTACTCGTGTTGAAAACGGCTGGAACTTCAATGAAGTGGGCATCGAAAATCATCACTTCATCGAATGAGAAGTACGGACTGTACATGTCAAGCAAATACTTTGTGGCACGGTTGAACTCGTTGCCGCCCACAATGATGAGGATCCGCCGCCCAGCGGAGGCGAATCCCGGGATTGCAGGTAGTGGCAAGTAGGGGGTGAAGTCGATCAGTGCCCCGTGCTCGTGATACCACATGTTCCTAAGATCTGGGAACAACGGCTCCAACATTGAGGATTGAGGATATGGCATCATCCCCCCACACAGCCGTCGAGGCAATGGATATTTAAGACATGCTGGCGCTTCTACCAACTGCTGCTCCGCCATTGCACTTGCCTTGGTTCGCTCAAGAATAGCTGCTGACTTAGTTCTTGATTGGTCTTCGGTACCATCTGCAATTCTGGGACTTTTTAGGAATAATTCTGTAGAAGAGATCCAAGCTGCAACGTAGTGAAGAAACAGCTCGTGCTGCCAGCGCACCACTGCTTCGAGTTGGGGCACAGGACGTCCCCAGGCATATGTATTAAGCACATTCCAGGCCGATGAACAAGCAGACATTTGCGCGCATGCTTCGCTTGCACGTATCTTTGCCGGGTCCCAAGTCTTAATGCAAGCTCGACTCAGGTCCTCCACGTTGGACATGTTGTACATGTTGTGTTCGTGGACCATTCCAAGCTGCCCAATAGTCTGGAAAGCTACCCCAGCACATCTTCTGCGTTGCTTCTTCGCCGGTCTGTCACTAATGGGACCAGCAAACTTCAAACCACTGCAGGCATAAAGGTGCTCAGCCGAAGAAGCCATTTGGAGGGGCTCTGTATGCTTTGGAAAGGGAAGGCCGCAGTTTTTTTCAGCTTTAATGTTCTGTCGTACTCCCTTCGCACAAAGCGGAAGTCCCGGGCGCACTAGCGAAGATGGCGGCGAAGACTTTGATGGTGCTGGTGGTGGGTAGAGCAGGAACCAAGACACCGTGCATCCGAACGCCCATGCCGCCCAAATATGTGCCTTACTTGTCCAGCTTTGTCTAGGGCAAACTGGCGTTCAACCTTCGGAATTCCATAAATGGGAATGCTACTCTCCCGACGCACGCCCCCCCCCCCCCGCCCCAATATCAAAAGTCATCACTCGACCAGCAAGCTGCTGCACGCATCAGTGATTGAGTACTCCACGCCAGAGATCCATGTGCCTAAAGCCTTCGAGCCGAGTCAGATCACGCAAGCATGCACCCAACGACATTGGGATTGCGGCATTGGGGAATTCCTTATGTTGGCACGTTCCCTTGGAAATTTCTGATTCTTCGTCAACACCGAGTCAACACAGGCAAGGCAGACAGCGCGACTGCAGATAACACTTGGGCCGGCTGATTCGCTGATTCGCTCATGAAGTCGAGGGCAGAGTTGAACAGCCGGCCCAAGAATAAAGTGAGTCACCCTGGCTTGATGCTGCTCGTGCTTTGTTTGCAAACATGTCATGCAGTGACCAATGTTTGACTGTTTGGTTCCCTGCTTCTCAAGGATCTGTCTGAGGTTGGCCTTGGCTAAGGACACCGACCCTGCTTCGCCGACTTTGCGACGGAGCGCATGAGAGGTGTCTCGGGAGATATATATATATATATATATGTCTATACGTCTATATATATATATGTCTAAATGTCTCTATACATATAAAAATATATATATATATACATATATATATATATGTACAATATGTTTACAGTGTGTTGAAAATACATTGTCGCTGTGGATTGCTCAAGGAGCTGACAAACGAAGCCAAAGCTTCAGAACCCCACTCCAAACAAACACGCAAAGTACCGCAAATTCAGAAGACATACATTGAAGAGGCCAGGGCCGAGAGATGGTGATGGTAGCGCCCATACGACTCTTAAATCCAAGCGCCCATCTTGACCCAACCCGTGGAAGTCTCTTGAGCAATCCTCGTACAGTCCAAGTCTGAACCGGTGAGGCCAGCCCAAGCACCTGAGAACATCCCATGAGGTATTAGTCACGGGACGACATTCGCAACGAAACTTGCACAGACGGAAGCCAAGATCTTTGCATGATTCAAAAAAGAGTCCGATAAGTAGGTACTCTAGTTCATGAGCCTTTTGACAGCCCGAAAAGAACCAGGCACCAAGAGTGCCTCGAGCAGGATGGTACACTCCTTCAAATGAACTTGCAGACTGTGCATGCCCAACCCGCCTCAACTGTTTGACCTTGCTGCCGCCTAAAATGTTCAAGGGCCCGGTGCTTTCAGTGTAGCAGCAAAAGCGTCCCCCTGTAACATGAATCAAACGCCCGCATTTATCAGTCTCCTGCTTACCAGCAGCAGCACTCTTGTCACACGCGAGGAGGGCATCCTGGTGAGGCGTTCATGAGCCATCTGCAGAGCCCCTGTGATTAGTCACTCGAATCACGCCAAGTACCGATGATTGTCGTGATAACGAGTGGACTCTCATGTGCAACCGATGCTCCTTTTCTCCACCCACATTTCCGCGACTCGGAAGATCTATACACACTCCTGTCTCTTGCATTTCTGGCTCGACGAGGACATGTGCATATTAACATTGTGATTTAGTTGGAGCCCAGACTGCAAGACCTATAATCGCCAGACGGGCAAGCGTGACAAAAGAAATGGCCAGACATCGCATCCCGCCCGGCGCCGTCACGCCTTTTGTCGCCTAATCCATTATATAGGCCGATGCCGCAGGATGCCAAAAGGCTTCCAGGGCAAACCAAACTACCGAACTATAAAGGAGGCTGCGCTGCAGAACGTCTACGCTGAGCGCAGCGCTCCTTGATTCATCGGGCAGAGGCTGCGGTGCGGCCTCACTTGGTGTTGAGGAGGTCGAACTTCTTCTTGAGGCCACTGCCCTGCATTGGCATCATGAGGGGAGTGCGGCCCAGGAAGACTGCCGGGCCGGAGTAGCGCCGAATGAAGCCGCCCCACTTGCCCTGGAAGCTTCTGCCAGTGGCTTGCTTGAAGGCAGACTTGATGTACTGCTTACGGGTGGAGAGATTCACACCACCCGGCACATTGCGGCTCATGTTGTCCTGAAGCGTCTTCAAGGATCGGACAGTGGTCTGCTCAAGGCAATCGGCAGTGAAGAGCAGCTTGGCCAAGGAGTTCCGATCTTCCAAGTTGGCAGGGTTCACCACGCATGTGGTCGCTCCGCTGGCCAGCTTCTCGGTGACGATCACGTTCTTGCTGGCTGTTTGGCAGACCATGTAGAAGTGGTGCGACTGCTTGTTTCCGTGCGCCTCACCTTCTGCGGCTTCCAGGTAGACCTTGCAGTCCTGGATCTTCTCGTTGTCGGAGATGTTCTGGCTGTTCTGGGATGTAGTCTTGGATGCCAGGCTCCAGGTCGGTGCAGACCTCGAGAACAGTACCCCCACTTGCTCCTCTCCGAACTTCTCCTCTGTCGTGCGCACCTCAAGGCTGCCAATGTGGTAGATGCGGAAGATTGTTCCGTCCTCAGTGGTCTGCTTGAACTCCGGCGCGGCCGTGGGCAGGATGTCTGAAACCAGGACTTTGCGGAATGCGTCATCGAACTCGACCTTGGTCCAGCCGGACTTGTTGGACACCTCAGTCTTGGGAGCCACTCCATCCTTCTCGATCTGGAAACGCGACGTCCAAGAGCGTGGAAAGTCAGGGCCCGGGTTGCCCTCCTTGAAGCTGCGGTCGAAGAAGCGCAGCTTGCGGCGCTCAAACAGGGACTTCTCCTCGTGGATGAGGCTTCGCAGCTTGGCAGCGTACTCCATGTTCGGATCAGGGGGGACGAAAGCATCACCCTCGCCCGTTCGGTCGCACTGGGGCGATCCGAAAACTTTTACCAGCAGCTCTCTGTACTCTGTCTTGAGGTCGTCAAAGTCACGCTCCCGCAGGCTCTTCAGGAAAGCCCGTCCCAAGGTCACCTTGGCTTCCAAGGAGTCCGGGCCTCCGCTGCATGGAGGCAAGCTGCCAGCAAAACGCTCTGGCTTTGTCAGGTCGAACTTGTCCAAGTTCAGGTCCACACCCTGCGGCATCTCTGCCCGCTGTCCGAGCTGGAAGCGCTGAGGCATGAACATGGGTCGGCCCGACTGCCCCAACTGCATTCCCGTCTGGCCCTGAAGAGCGTGGCGCTGTGCCAGCTCAAAGCGATCCAGGCCAAACTCCACGCCACCATAGATGGCCTGCAAGCTTTTCTGGCCACCGGTAAACATGTCGATGAGCCGGCCATTCTTCAGCTGAATGCGGGAGTTGCCGCGCATGTTCCACAGCTGTGGGATCTCCGGGTGTGCTTCTTTCGGCGTGGACTTCACAATCTCGTCAGCAAGGCGGTACCAGGATGGGTCCAAACGAGTGTGAGAGTCTATCAAGTACTTCGCCAGGATTGAGGCCTTGGCTAGTTCACGGACATGGTAAACCACGCTCTTGCGCTCCGCGATCAAGTCGAAGTTGCGAGTGAAAGCATCGGCAAACTTCTTCAGAGGGTGTGTGGAAGCCGTAACCGGCGCATCTTCCAAGCCCTTCTTGGTGACCACCTGCTCCCTGGCTTCCACACCCATCTTCACGAAAGGGACCAGCGTCTTGTCCTGGGCCAACCTCACCTCGGCCTTTTTCACCACGTACCACTCGCGCCCTGCCCAGGCCTTGTCCTTGTCTGAGAGTTCGGACCAGTCAAAAACACTCAGCATGCCGGCAACAGGCATCTCATACTCGCCCAAGGCCAGCTCCTTGAGGAAATAGTCTGCCTGGAACATGACATCGCCAACACTGGTGCCAGCCAGCCAGCTGGGTTCATAAACCTTCTTCTGGGGAGTCTTCTCCAGGTTCTGTGGGTCCACGGGGTCCAAGGAGAAGAGTGGCTCACGGCTGGCGGTTTTCCGCACCTTCAGAGCCAACAAGAGGTACTCCAGGTTGACTGAGGCAGCTGGCTCCAAAGTCGGTGCAACCTTCACCGTGCGGGTCACCTCATCGAAGACGAGGCAGCACAGCCCCTGAGGAGCAGCGCTGCAGCCCATACGCTCTGCCCACGTCGTGTTCTTGGGAACGCTGTCCATAACCCAGCCAATCTCGAACTCCTTGCGGCTTTTCAGCTTCTTCTCTGCTTCCCAGCCCATGCGCCGGTCTTCCTGCCTTTGGGCATCTTCCACCAGGACTTGCGCCATACACTCTGCATGCACGCAGCTTCCGCGGCCTTCGCGACCCTCATAGGCAAACTCCCCAACGGGCATCAGGCACCGGCAGCACAAGGGTACCTCCTCACCATCGGAATCCACATCCACCGGTGCCGACTTGCGCTCCTTCTTCGGCTTTGATGCCAGGAGAGCTGCTTCGATTGCCTCCTTTGGAGTCGTGCGCTTTGCTGCATGGTTCACCGCCCAAGGGAAGGCCTTTCGGTTGAAGCCAGGGTTGGAGCCTGTCCTGTTTTCACCGAACTTGTCCAGGTACTGCTTCAGCGCCTCCTTCTCGTCGTTCGAGGGCTCCTTCTCCTTTCTCACAGTGGCGGTTGGGCTGGTCGCATCTTCACTGCTGGCGGTCTCGACCTCGCGGATTTCGACCTCGCTGGCGGACTCAGCCTTTGTAACTTGCACCAGGAGGTCCTTGCCTTTGAGGTTCACCGTGACCCATCCCTTGGCTGGACCCGAGCCCGAGACGAGCTCGTAGCCGAGCCGATCCTCTTGCCACTGGACTTCTTTTACTGTGGCGCCCGTGGCCAAGCGGGTGTCCAGAATGGCTGAGGACAGGTCCGAGCTTTCACGGACGAGGATGCCGCCCTTGTCGGCTCCGCCCACGACCTTCCACATGGCGGCCATGGCAAATGGCGAATGAAGCAAAGTGATCCAGCTACAAGATCTTGAGCCTTCTTCCTTGAGCCGCAATGGCTACACCAATCGAGTTTTCTGCTGTACAACGTATTTAGGCAGGCCATGTTTGTGCGTTGAGAGCTATCTCTGCTGCTTATCTAGCGATGCACCAGTAGTGTCTCCAGCCTAGAGTGCAAGTCCAAGACGAGCACGGACGAGAAAAGCCGCCCAGCCTGATAGGCGCCAGCTGTGCGATGCTCACTGGCATCTCCCGGCTTCCGGCAATGCCATGGCGGCGGAGCTTGAGACGCCACTGGCTACGGCTACTTCTTGGAACGCGAGGCATGCTGCACCAACTGCAGCCTGTGGATTCTGGCAGGCTGTGGGAAGTGCACAGTGGGATGGGCGCAACTTCTCTTTTTGCCCAGACCAGGCCAGCATCATGCGCAGCAGCTCGGATCTTTTGCCCACAAACGCTTTGGAAGAGGGCTGAAAATTGGGCTTGGCAATCATTGACCGAAGCAGTCTGGGCTGATAACTGCCACCCTGCATCTTGCGTTTCAAGCTGGAAGGACATGCGAGATTGACTCTATTGCTTGGGTGCTGCAGCCAGACCAGCCGCTCTTTATCAGGGCTTCTGCCACCATGGCTTCTTTGCAGCACCGAAGCAAGTCACCGGGTAGTGCGCCATCTTGCTCGGGAGCTTCGGGACAGGAGCGACGATGTCGCCTTCCATGCTTCGCACACACTAGCCGTCACTAGCCTTTTGTGTCTTTGTCCGCGGTGCAGCAAAATGCCCCAAAACAGGCCGGGCCACCGTCGGGGCAGTGTGTCGAGGCAAGGCTGTCCGCACTCGCATCGCACCTGGGCAGGCGTCTTGGGATCCCACACTTTCAGGGGGCCTGATGGGTTTAGGAGCAGCTCCTGGAAAGGTACGAGTACTTCGACGTCTAGAGCATCTCATCAGCTTAGGCTGAAGAATCCGCAGTTTGCTCACAGCTCTGAGACCCCCCACTCGCAGCCTTCCTTCTTGGTGCAGGCCGACTTGCTGCGCAGCTCGCAGGTCTCCTCTTTCTTCTGGTACCTTGATGGAGGCTAGGATCATGTGATCGCAGTTGCTTCAATGCCCTGCTGCATGCTTCACCTCAACCTTTCATTCTACCACGGACTTAGGCCTGAGCCTGCATAGGCACTAAACGACGATACATGACATCCTACAGCCCTTCCCTCCCCAAATCCCAAACCCCACTCTGTAATCAACCCCCATAAACCTGTGTCCGAGCCCTGCACTGGACGGACCGGCATCTCTTCTCTCGGGTGCACAGGGCTTTGCAGGCGGCCAAGCTGGGGATGCCTCCGCGCTGGGTATTCAGGGGTGCTTTCTTTCCCTCCGGCACAGCTGGGGCGAATTTTTTAGAAATTGGAGTTCATCTGCACGGCGTGGGGCAGAGTTGACAGAGGGTTTAGGACTTACAGGGCTTAGCCTAAAGGCTGCGCATCGACCCGTCCTACACGGCAGGCGAGGCTTCAAACGCAGGTTCGGGTGCTAAAGGGGCTGAAGGTCCCCCCAAACTCGCAGACGCATCATGTCTGGGCATAGGGTCAGGCCGGTTGAGGGCATCATGGCGCTGCGATCCCGCCTTCCTCATGCGCGCCAAACCTTGAACCCTAACCTATCAATTGGGATGCTCCCCCTTGTGCTGCCAGTCCTTAGTAGGAATTGATTAGAGTACCACCTATTATGATCCCTATGAAGGACTGTTAGTATAAGGATGAACATCCCAACCTATACCCCGAAAGCCTTGACGGTACATGACCACTGCGCGACAACAACTCCACGCGCTCGGGGGGGGGGGGGTGTTACGCCGTTCTCACTCCGACCATCGGCCAGAAAAGAACCACCAAGTTCAATTTGGGAAGTGTTGGGAAAGCAAAACACACAATTTCTGCGGCTTAGGGGCCTTGGGGCTCATTTGGGGTTAATGTTGACTTCGCGTTAATAAATCCCCCCCCCCCCCCGGTTGATCAATCTTTTCGGCCAGGGGCCTCCTCAATTGCATTCGCCTAAATCCTGGTAGGATTTTCTATTAGTTTTAGGTTTATGCCACTGCAAAAGAGAGTGTCTGCAGCCAGCAAGCTTTAAACTCCCCCCTTAAACTTATGAGTTTAAGCAACCTGGAGCATCTCCCTGCAGCCAGCAAGCTCTAAACTCCCCCCCTTAAACTTATAAGCTTAAGCAACCTGGAACATCTCCCTAAAAAAAAAGAGGGGGTGATTTTATAATTGTGGGGGGGCGAGATTATTGTGTTCCGGCCCCGGGAAATTATAATTGTAGCGGGAACCGGCAATGTAAAGCCAACATTAGGGTGGTTCGGGGGCGAATTTGGAATGAGGGGATCATTCGGCAGTGGCCTTTGTGGGCGGAGATCGTGTCCGAAGAGCAGCGGAGCTCCTGAGGAGTTGACCACGCCACTTCCTTAGTCTGGGGCTTTGTGGGTTTAAGCCGCTTTTGAAGCCAAAACCTACTTTCTCTCACAACCTACAAGAAATTGGTTCACGCGGACCCGGGATTCAGATGTAGATTTGGGGTTGAGGCCTGTAGACGCGTCATAAGCACCCAGAGTGTTGAGCAGTTCCTTTTGCACCAGAAAATCACAAGACTTCCACTGGAGCTCACCCTGCAACCCTGCGAGAACGCATGGCTGAGAATCTCGGTCTCATTGCTTGTACCGTAGCTTTGCTTATGGCAAAGCTTGGAAGCTTGCAAGGATTTTGGGGCTTCGAGTGTGACTTCCACGGCTTCAGCATCATAACGTCGGTGGCTGTTCTTACGAAGCCGGGCATCTTGAAGGCCCTGAGTACAAGTCATTAGCCTCCTCGACCGAACCCGGTTTTGTTGGACACAGTACTTTCTGCACTTTGCATCGGCTGGTGCTGTTTCTGCATCCTGTTTGGAGCGAAGCAGGGAGTACGCTTGGAATTTCACTAGCCGTTGAGACCCAAATCGCGGCTCGAGCCGCAGCAGGGCTTCGGTTCGGGATTGACGGCTAAAGAATGTATACGACGGGCCTGCACTGAAGTTGCTGTTGCTGAGAGCCGAATACAACGTCTACAGTGCTGCCCAGGCATTCTGGCCAGTCAGCTGGGCTTTTGACATGTCCTACAGCTATAGTCTTCCCTCCCTAATGCTTTCAACGCCCAAGCCTAAACTTCAAACCCCCAAACTTTGAAGCCCTAGGCCGCCTAGGCCCTGATGGCGAAGTGCCAGCTCCTAAGTGCAGGCCATGGGCGTGGGAGAACTGAGCCACAAGGTGGTCCAAATCCGCATCTGTCAGCGCCTCAGTGTACGGGACTGGCGAGGTGGGCTTGAATCAATGAAGTCCTGCGGGCAAGATGATGAAGGCCGCTGAAACCATCTTGACTTTGTCTGCATAAGAAAGAAAGATTCAAATAAACAAACAAACACACGCACTTACACACTCGCACAGTTCCACACTTAGACACTTAGACAGACACTTACAAACTGACACTGACACACTGACACACTGACACACTGACACACTGACACACTTACACACTTACACAGTTGCTTGGCTTGGCATGCTCATGAGACGAACTGCGACAGTACAAGACTGTGGGCGGGGGGGGGGGGGAATGTATGCATGAAGATGATGTGAACAGTTTAGTCCCAACTTGTGCCACACACCGGGACTGGCACAAGCGAAAAACGGATGAAATGATACCAGCAAGGGGTGTGGGCGTGGCCCCCTGTTGCACCAGACACCGGGAATGATGCAACATGAATGAAAGGAAAGATATATGAGGTCCCCAGCAGCGCCCATGAGCGGATGGAGCGCAGGTACGTTTGCATGGGGTGGGGGAGGGGAGACGACCGGGACCCCCCCCTCCCCAGTCCCCTGGTCCCCTGCACGAAATTCACCATGTCCAGGTGTTGCCACACACAGACTCCTTTCTCATCACGCCTGGTCTTTGGCGCACAATCCTTTCTCGACTCAACTCGTCTGATTCGGTGCTGAGTGAGCACTCCAGTCAAAGTGTGGCCTCAGAGCTGGAAGCGTCCGGGATCAAACTTCTTCAATATGGCTGACTGCTGCTCCGTGACACTGTTGTCTATCAAAGCGGCTAGCACGTTAGCAATGGCAGGTGCGAACTGGAAGCCAGATCCCGAAAAGCCGCACGCGAAAACGATGGAGGGGTCTGCTGGATGACGGCCAAGAATCATATGCAGGTCTGGGGTACACTGGTACAGGCACCGCATGTAGCCGACATACTGCTCCGCATTTAAGCTCGGCATTTTCTTGCGCACAAAGTCCTGAACCCTTTCCCAGGCAAACGTGTCCAATTCAAATTGTTGCTCGCTGTTCAACTCCTTGCGGATGTGCGGCAGCTTGTCCACAGCAGCCTTGCCACCGGAAGACACTTGAAACTCGTCGGTGTTTAGCAACGGGCCCTGCCGATGGAAACCAATCTTCACTCCACCCGATGGCACGCCTGGATGTGTTACATGTGGCGTGGTGTAGAAATATTCACAACCACCATCCTTGCCACGGCCCTTGTAACCAGCTTCACTCCAAGTGAACACCGGAAAGACGTCCCAGTCATAGGAGGGTGCACCAGGCCTAGGGCCAAGCTCAACGGTTTGCTCATTCGACACGATCATGGGAACGCCTGGAAGCCCTGCATTCGACAGAACCTGGTTCGTCCATGGCCCCGCGGTGATGATCAGATTGGAAAACGAGAAACGTCCTCCTCCTTTGGTCTGCACCTCTTTCTTGTCGCGATCAATGTGCACCACAGTGTCCTCGACAATGTCTGCTCCGGATCGGGAGGCTCTCCAGTGAAGAGCAGCAAGACAGTTGTTTACCAGCATGGTGAAGGCAACGGGCATGAAGATCAAACTCTCACCAGGATCCAACTTCAACTGTGGAAAACGTTGCTCCGCTTCACTCGCTGATAGAACTTCATGCTGCGCCTCAGGTAGATCTCCCAACTCCCTTCTGACACAAACTCCAATGTTTTCAATCTGCGCTTTGGGACCCCCATCGCAGCCCCAGTGCAATGATAAAAATGAGCATCTTCAACTTCTAGATCAGGCGATCTGCTCGCCTCTGCTTGGTACTCCTCCTGCAACTGCTTCCAGTACTTGCTGGATTCCAATCCCATGCGCAACAGAACCGGATCTTCCATCCGAAAATGGCTCGCTCGAGTCACACCCCAAGATCCTCGAATAGGGTGAGCCGCATCAATCAGGATGACTTTCCTTCCCCTTGCTGCTAGCGCAGCAGCGGTGCTTAAGCCCATGACACCTCCACCCACCACGAGGGTTGGTGCTTGGCTTCTCTTATAGAAATACCAGCCAGCAAGGCCCAAACCTCCCAGGCCTCCCAGGCCTCCCAGCCGAAGCTTGGTGCGCAAGCTCATGGGCCGAAGTGGTGCCAAAAGAAGGTCACGGGGTGTGTCAGTGACACTCCAAGTTCGGACTTTTCTAGAACCTAGACATACATCGCAATCGGCTACCCAACCCTAGAACCCAAGAATGCACATTGCAATCTTTGTCAATGAGCATGCCACCTCTCAACCTTGCTGCCTGAGCGAATGGACACGCTTGCTCTGGTTGCTGCCGATGGCTGTCCATTAGTCGAGAAGAGAGGGGGGGGGATCGCAATCCTTTCTGGGCCACGGACGCCATCCCAGAGCTGCACCTGGGCTTGGGCTTTGGGGGGACCCAAGGTGGAGTACTGCATGCTGAACGACCAGTGCCTTCTGAACAACCAATGCTGGGACTCCGCTGCTTTATGCGCTTCTTGCGCTTAGGTACTGTATTCTACAAGGAATGCCTGCAGCCACAACTCGAGCCACAAACCGAACGCCAATGGCCAAGTCTTAAAAGAGGCTCCAACTAACATCAACCTGATGCAGACTCCCCTCCCACCCCCCTGCCCACCCTAAACCGATCTGCATCATGTCTCTCAGTCCACGCCCGGTGGCTCTTACGACCCCTGGCAAAACGACTTGTCACGCAAACTGGCCGCCGAGGAGCCGCATGGATGTCGGCTACAACACCATCCCTCTGGGCGCCCGGGACGAAACCCAGATGAACCGGCCTCTCACCTGGTGACGGTAGCAACAGCAACCATAATCATGATATAGCAAGACCATACGGGGGATTACGCAAATAAGGGACCCCTTAATATGGACCCCCAAATAGCAGTCCTTTATAATACGAACCCAGTAAGGTACCCCCCCCCCCCCCAATTTGGGAAACCCCCGTACAAGCAATAGGAGCAGTAAGAATAATAATGAAAGGTGCTGAGAGTGAGCAAGTGAGTGAGAGAGCGGTATCCACACTGGACTGGGAAGTGTGGCGCCGTGCCTAACGCACTTTCGGGGGTCCGAACACGTCATCGCCCCCTCGTGGAGATCTCAAATGGCTGGCCCCGGGCTCGGCAAACGTCATTGCCCGAATGAAGATCTAACGAGAGTACTAGGTACAGAAGCTCTATAGTGCAATAAAGTAGTAGGAGGACTGAAAGCTATGTTTCTTTTAGTCATAATTGTCTAGATGTTGCCCGCTGGCGGTTTGGCACTGGGGTTCGAGGCAATTTCAGGCTGGGCGCTAGCTGATAGCTAGGAGAAATCCCAGGCGTCCTGACAAGTGCGAGACATGAGAAGGAAAACTCCTGCCAGCAACGCCGACGCAACACGTCGTTGGGCAATTAACGCCGCCAGATGTGAGGCTGCCAAGTTACTTTTGCGCATTGCAGCATCAGACCACAATGGGTCCTCAGTTGCTTGGTCTGTCAGGCCTACCACTTTGCAGGTCCCCAGGCCAAGCAAGTTGGTTTGTGCCCAGCCGCTGTGCTGGCGGTGGCCTCGCAGCACACTTGACCATTCACCGCCAGCTCGAGCTTCTCGCCTTTGCCGTCGTAGCGGACCTTTGCTGTTTAGGGTTTGCTCGGCGCTGTGTCTGAGTCTAATAGCTGAGCAACTGGGCGCGACTGCCCTGTGAACCAGCACATCATCAACTCGCCAGCAGCACTACAGCCACAGGGCGACATCCCAATTCACCAGCTAGTCCGACAGGACAGGGGCCCGAAAATTGATGGACTTTCTGCTGGGCCCTCATCCCTATGTGGCCAAACAACAGCTACAAGGTGAACCAGGTGACGGCCACTGATGCCCATTCATCTGCGTAGGAAGAGTTGCAGAAGCATCCGATAACGTTCTCCGACTTCCAGTCCTGAAGCCCATAGAGCTCAAACTTCAAGCAGGCTTCCATAATCATGTCACTAAGCTAGGCCAGCCCAGGAGGAGGCAAGTCAGGACCCGAACATTCGAACAGCGTTTCATCACGAAATGATGAGTCCTTGAAGGCTCGTAGCCGGAACTGTTTGCCTGGTGTTGCCACGAGCTCCCACGCCCCATGCTCATCTGGGACGCCTGAACCAAGGACTCACGCGGAGACACTGCTTCGGGGTGAGATCAGAGCTTCAATGCAAACTGCATAGCACTTATAATATCGCGCGCCAATCATAAGTCCCAGCCTAACGACCAGCTGCCTTCCTTCAGCATCAGGGTCTCTTCGTTGGCATTGCCACTCCCGACGAGCTTCACGTAAGCGAGCGCCTGCAGTTGCAGATGTAGGGCGACAAAGAGAAATCGCATGTCGCCGTTAAGAGTGAGGACTGGCCCAATGTCTGAGGTGACCGGTGAAAAGTCTACAAAAGGCGCTGATGAAGCCTCCTTTTTTCCCCCGAAACCTTAAACAAGAAGTTGTGCAAGGCAGGCTGCTGTGAACTCGACGGACTTGGTCTTTCCCAGCGAAAGGCCCGTCTTTCCATCCAGGCGATAGGAATTTCCTCGAGGTTCACTTGTTCTCAACTCTTGGGTTTAAGTGCCCAGCCCTGGCTGAACTGAGACACGCTACAAACTCAAAGCAGAAGGCGGGGGACTGGAGTTTAACTTCATCGCGTCCCCAACGACAAGATCAAACAAGCTGTTGAAGAACTCCTCAAGAACAGACTGAAACTTGATTGCCGAGAAACGACCCCTTTCCACCTTCCATTGCCTGACTCAACCTCAAGCCCCCCCAAAACCCAAGCGCCAAGACACCGCCTTCCGTGGATGCTGCCTTGCCGTCGAACTTCATCACTCCGCCGGCGGAGCCCCGGTTTGTCACCTTATTTACGGGTTCTTCCTCTTCAGGCAGACGTTCAAGGGGCGAGAGTCGCCCTCATCACAAGGGCAGCATGTAGCAAAGCCCAAGTGTAGAGACATTGCTCTTGTATATCGTGTTTGGGCTCACTCCATCTGGGGTCCTAAGTGGCAAACGTTTCCTACAGCCATTCTGTGGGATGGCTTTTTGTCGACCCCTAGGCGCGTGGCCGCGCTTGCCGCCATCGATCGCTTTTGGACTTCTGGGCTCGCGACATGCTGTGGACGTGCTCGCGAAATTGTCATCGCGTATTTCTGGGACCGCGCAAGTGAAACTGTCGGCTCTCGCGGATGTCCGCTTGCGAAATGCGATACTCATCACTTTTGGACGTCTGGGCACGGGTAATGTTCTTTGCTTCTCTCGGTCTGCCGTGCTCTTGGAAAGTTTGCATGAAGCCTAATCCTTAAAGGGCTTTGGGCAAGCTCTTGGCGTGCTAGGATCTTCCTCAAGTGCCAATGGGGATCGTCTGCAGCGCTTGGACTGGTCTCGGCAGACATGCCCTTAAACCATTAGAATGTTCTTTCATGTCCCCGGTCTCTGACTGTTTGGGCTCTACACTGGCAGACGATCCTCGCCTGAAGCACAGAAATGCAACTAGATAACGATTGAGTTTCAGTTTTCTCGCTGGGAAGAGCCTGACGCTGTGATCTTCACAGAATCTACATAAGCTCTTTGAGGCCATGGCAGTCGAGATGTCCCCCTTTACGCGTACAGCCTGGATGCCGGCCACAGACCTGAGCTCCGGAGTCTCTAGGCGTCGGTAACTTTTGAGATATGTTGGGCATCTTGGATTTGGGTGCAACACTCTCGTGCGCTGCCGTGCTTTGATGTGAGTACTGTTAGGTCCCGGACCCACAAGCTGACACCCTGGGCCTTTCATGCACAGAAATAAGCAAGCCTGGGCATCAAATCAACCAAGCTGCTTCTTGCAGCACACTTGTCCTTAGCACTAGGGAACACAAGGGTATGGTCTGCAAAGGTCTGGCATCTCTCGACAGCTTCCCCATTCCTTCGGACCACACTGGAAGCCTCTGCCAGGGAAGCCTTCACAACTCAATTTGCGATCAACACAAGGACCTTGATTGTAACACAAGGCGTCGTGTGCAATTGCTGCCGCATGCTGGCGCGTCAGCGACGGGTACCTCGTCTGCGTGGCACTGGATGCCTGGGCCCAGCGTGGGATGGAGCCCCAGACTGTTGAACCGCAAATTAAACCCCCTGCCCACTTCGAACCGCAAACGATGGAGACTACTGAACCCTCGACCGCTAACCCACGACTCAGGTCCCTTCTTGCCAATCGCAAGAGTCCTCCGCAGCTCTGGCAGTCTGCAGCGGCCGGGCAAAGCACACGTTTCGCCGCCGGCTCGGATGCTGCGTCGCAGGCGTCCCGACTCCTCGGATGCTTCTGGAGCAGCTTTAGGAATTACAGGCCTAGCCTAGCATTCTTCGATGGGGAGGCGGCAGCCCTCGCTGTTAAGCCCATAAGCCCATACTTGTGTGCAAAAGACCTGTTGCTTCTGAAGCGATTCGAAGCCACAGCAGTACCTAGGAAACCTCCATTCCAGCAGCCAGGAAGCACCACCTTTCCTGTGGCAGGCACCTGCATTGGCAGAAGGCATGGAACACAGATGCATCACTCTGCACCTATCTTGGAAGGCACAGCCCCCCCCACC